CTTGATGTGCGTCAACCGTTGACTTTGCATGTAAACTGGCTGCTTCTGCTGCTCAAAGTGCATCCGGTGTGAACGTAGCATAATAGCTGAAATCAACTCAAATAAACCGCGCTCTTAGCTTAGTGAGCAACTTGGCGCTAACATTAGTCGGCTAACCTAAACTTTAAACAAAAACTTGAATAATTCATCAGTTCTGCTTTTGCTTCAACTACATTTTAACCAGTAGTTAAATGGTTAATGAAAATACATTAAATAGTTTTTAATCTGAATAAATATGTGTAATCTAATTGAAAGATAATTTTAGAATTTGTTTTTGGTCTTGTGACATGGAAGAGATTATCGTCATTTTATCTCTGACTCGTCTTTCATGTGATTAAAATGAGATCTGAGGCGCCTCCTGTTCATTCTGACTGCAGCTGTCTGAACTGTGGTCTGACCCAAGATGGCCGCCCTCTAGGCACGTCGGCAAACGTCCAATGAGGCGTCTGGATATATAATATCTATGATTTTTAAATCATAGCTCTATGATTCACTTCAAATTGTGATGTTTTAGTATTTTCTTCGGTATTTTTATGAAATATTATTGACTTGCTGTTAAAATCAGGTCCCTGAACAAATCAGCTTATTCATTTTCTGCAGGATTCCAGATCTGATCATTGAACTAGTGAACGTTTTCCACTAAGATCAGGATTTTAAATCCAACATATAATTCCGTTATTCCAGGATTACATGGCTGTCATTTCTCCCTGTGTCTCCTGCAGCCGGGGGACTTCCAGCTGTGCCGGTTCGGGTACCAGGATGTGAAGGACCTGCTGCAGGAACCTTCAACCGTGACGATCTTCCTGGGAATGGAGAAGCTAAGGAGCCCTTCCTCCTCCTCCTCTCAGAGCATCGCTGAGCCTCCCGTTTGGTTTGCCATCAACACGGATAGAGACGCTGCTGAACTCCTGAAACGCTGCAGAGAGAAGAACTGTTCCTTCCCCAGATCCCCGAACAGAGACCTGCTGAAGCTCAGCGAGGACGAGGCGGGTGAGAAACATGCCGAGTTCCTTCCTTCTTCCTCCTGGTTCTGTTTCACATCATGCTTCCCGCCCTGCAGGCATCGTAGCCCAGGCCCGGTCGGTGCTGGCCTGGCACAGCCGCTACAGCTTCTGCCCGACGTGCGGCAGCAGCACCCGTCTGGAGGAGGGCGGATACAAGAGGAGCTGTTCCAACTCTGAATGCAGGAGCCTGCAGGGCGTCCACAACACCTGCTATCCCAGAGTCGGTATGAAGCCACACTCATTCTAAAGAAAAAAAGCAACAAGGCAGGAG